TTTGTTTGTTTGTTTTCTGGAACACCCTTGCTCTCTCCATACTCCAGTGAATATTGACAGTTTGGTCTCTAGTTCCTCTGCCACTTCAAAAACTAGACTGCTTTTATGGTAGTCCTCAATTAACATATTGCTGAAGCCTAGCTTGCAGGATCTTAATCATAACCTTGCTCGTATGTGAAATGGGCACAACTGTTAAATAATTTGAACATTCTTTGGCATTGTCCTTCTTTAGGATTGGAATGTAAATTGATCTTTTCCAATTCAGAGGCCATTGTTGTATTTTCCAAATTTGCTGGGATTTGAAAGGATGCTTCAAATAACTCTTTTTGATTCAATCAATGTCCATATATTTTCTTTAATGATTAGATTCAGGTTTTCAGAGTATGCTACTTTGGTTTGCATCTTGAGTTCCGTTGCTGTTCAGAACAGATTATTTCATCCCCTCTCATGGTTTCTGGTGACTATAGAATAGTTTTATGTTATTTAAATTTCCTTTCCTTTGTCTGTCTCCTAGTTCTAGCAAAATTTGTTATTTATCATTGGAATTCATCTCATTCATATTCATGCTAATTATGTATATCTCTTTTATTCTCTTATGCTTTTTGTTCTTCATGCCACATGTCCACTTATTTACTAAGAAGAAAGTAGTAAAACAGAAGAAACTTGGTTAACACTAGTAATTTGTATTAGAAGTGGTCTAGTCCCACTCCACTGACCTGTGCTCTTTATCTAGCCGCTGGTACTCCAGACACTAGTTCTTATACCTACTTTCTTTCTTTTTATTACTTGTTTTTAAGATTCACTCACCAAAGTTGAAGTTTATTTTTATTTTATCTGTTTCCTCCCTGACTCTTTTCCTTCTGTTAAACCCCCTCTCCCTATCCCTGCCTGTTGGGTTTAATGAATTTCTATGCCAAACTGGTATGTGTGTGTGTGTGTGTGTGTGTGTGTGTGTGTGTTCAATCTTCCTTCCTTCATATATGAATAAGATTCATGAGGTACCTACTCCTTCTACATCATCCAGTGTGAGGACGTGATGAAATCTGCAGCTGGTGGGTAATGATGAGGTACCTGCCTTGGGCTCCCTCCTTAAATGGAGGACTTGGGAAGAATGCTCCACTGTCCACCCTTTACCCACTCTTTGCAGAGAGTGGTAGGTAGCTCAGGGGCAAGAGGTACTGAGGAGGTGTGAGTTTCAGAGTTGACATGATCTTGCAGGAAGATGAATTTCTTGAGACCATAAAGTCCAAGAGAACAGCCAGGTGGAAAAAATAAGGAGAGACAAGTCAAGTGAATGTCATATTTAATCTGCAACCAGTCATTCTAGATAATGTTGTATCAGGTAATTCATTTTATGAAATCACTAGCTGAATCCAAGCCACTATTTACAAAAGAAAATAATATGAAAATCATACCCTAAAATAGGCAGAGTTCTTGCTTTCTGAGTTCAAAGTAAGCCATTGACACAGAGCTTTACAGTTTTATACTACAGTCACACACATTAGTTGTGGGTGACTTTTTTTGTTGTGTTTGTATTAGCTTTCTAACCCTAAAACCCTTTCTGTACTACACCTTATGGCTTTCTCACTAAATGAACTATTTAGGAAAATAATTACTGGGAAGCTGAGCCTTAGTGTTGATGTTTAGATGCTAGGGGTGTTGGGACCCCAAAATCACATGTGGGTCCACACTGAAAGAATTCGACCCAAGCCTTCTTTCAACCAAAGACAAGGTTTATTAAAGATGAATCATATATGCCAGACTCTTGAGGAACCTGAACATTTGTGACCCTCCTAAGGATGAGCAAGCATGAGGAAGTCTCAGCCCCTAAATGGCAGCCAGGATGGATCTTATATACAGAAAGACTATGGGCAGGATCTGGGAGTGGTCAAGTAGCTCTGGGGTGACTGGGGGGCAGGGCTGGGCATCTTGATGGGAATGGCTAGTACTGGAGGAGAGTTTAGGGAGGATCTTGAAGCTGGGGTGACTGGGGAAAGGGTCTTGGGAAAATCCCAATGGGAGTGTCTGGGAGGTTGAATAGGGTCATCTAGGAATAGACAATGAAGGGCTAGGCTTAATTAGGATAGCAATTTATTGGGAGGTTGGGCCTAGACAGATAAGGAAAGGCCAGTTGAGTGGATTATAGCTTCAGGCAACCTCTTAAGACTTCTTTGACTAAAGAGTTCAAGGAAAGTTTAAGGGTTTTCTGGGGTCTATAGACAAATAGGACCCAAATTCTTTTTGGGGTGAGGGGCAAAGGTCTTGGCTTGGGTACTTACCCCATCACTAGGGTGGTGATTTAAGAGGGCAACTAGAGGAAATTCAGAGAGGCAGGAAAAGGTGATTTCAGGATGTTAAAATGCATAGGTGATTAGGTCTTCAATTCATATGTGGACAGATCTATCTTAACTTCTCTGTGTAAACTATATATATTTCACTTTGGTTTGCGCCTCTTTTGTTGTACTTAAGATATTTTACCTTGTTTGTTTCATTTGCTTGTCGTATTTCCCCAACTAGATTATAAACTCCTTGAAGAGAGAACTATGTTGGAGTCTTCTTTACTATCCAGGTATAGCAATATCCAGTATAGAAGAGGGAAGGTTCTGGATAGCAGTGGCAAAGTAAAATGAGTTGTGTAGATCTCATTCCATAATTCAATTTCACCTTACATCCTTGTGTCTTGTCTATTAACAAAGTTAGTTTCAGCCTAAGTCGATCACGCCACCCCTTACAGGCACACACACATATAACCCTACCCCCACCCCAAGTACTGCCTAGCTTTCAATGTAAAGTATTCTGTCTTTTTAGGACCCTTTTCAAAAGGAGCAGTTAATAATGAAAAGGGCAATATTTCCCTATAAAGGAAGAAATTTGTTATGTCAAGAGGTGTGGGATATTGCCATTGCTATGGATGAACATTTTGATTCCTAATATAAGTGGAAAAAAGAACTTTGTTTTAAATATATTGCTAAAATATGTGAATACAGACACAGATTTCAGATGAGATTTGTACAGTTTTGGAGAGAAAGTCATCTGAAGCATAGAAATGGAAACATGGTTATAAATACATCATTGAAACTGTAATTTTCATGAAAAAAGCAAACCCATCATAAACACAATTATTTTCTAATTATGGTTATTACAAAATGGATTTTATCACTGGTATGGTAATAAATGTTTCATGAAATTAAATATTCTTTATGGCATAAAGATCAAGGAGGCAAATATTTGAAATGGAAGAATAATGAATAAATTTGTGAATTGAGATTCTCTTGATGTACCTATTATGACTAATGCTTAACTAATCCCCTATATATCTTAACAACAGGTGTCACTATATTAAAGTATTGATTAACTTGGGTATTTGTAAAATTCAAACATATTTGGTTGGTTGGTTGGTTTTTTTTGGCGAGGTAATTGAGGTTAAGTTACTTGCCCAGGATCACACAGCTAGTAAGTGTCTAGTGCTTGGTCTGAGACCGGATTTGCACTCAGATCCTCCTGACTCCAGCACTGGTGCTCTGTCTACTCAGCCACCTAGCTGCCCCCAGTTCAAATATATATGAAAAAATGTTTTTTAAAATTTCCTTTTCATAGCTCATGAATGAAGTCAGGAAAAGGATCCTTTAAGTCAAACAAATGAATATGTTGTAAAAAGAATTCCCCTAAAGTCAGTTCTTGATCTTCAGCCTCTAAATATATATGCATTCCATCCTTTGCAAAAGGTTAAGCAGACAAACAAACAAACTCTGGGCCTGAAAACAAATTGGGAAATTCCAAAAGAAAAACATACACATATTTTAGCTATAGGGTTGTTCTGGACAGCTTGTAAAAGTATAGTAATTAGAATAGCTGCTTTGGGATTTTTGTTTTTAAATATTTTGCAATTGGAATTCATTCAAAGTTTTGAAATTTTAAAAAGCCACATGGTACAAATATCTCAAGCTTTTGAGTCTTGGTAGATTTATTTTCCACCTTCTTATTGCATTATTCTGTTGACTAGCATTTTTAAGAGAATGCTTCATGATTATTTTAATCAAAGCTTTTTGGAAATTGGTAATCAGTTTTTAAAAATAAAATAAATAAATATAAAAATTAAAAAAAATCCTGGGTATTAAATTCAATTTAATAATATTTACCTCCTGGTGAAATAGCTCATACTTCACATAAAGGTAAAAAGATCATATTTTATTATCTATAATAAATTATTAATTTGTGATATTTTATTATTTATAATAAATTAAATTCAAGAAATTTTTAAGATTCTAGATTTAGAACTAGAAGAAACTTTGGGGGTCATCTAATCTAACTCCGTCATTTTAGACATGTGGAAACTGAGATCTCTAGACTTCTCCAAGTGACGTAACCAGGATCACACATGTAGTAAGTTAATTCAGAAAACATTTATTAAATGCCTACTCTGTTGAAGGCACTGTGCTGAGCTCCAAGGATATAAAACAGTAAAATGAAACACCCTTAATGAGATGTGAAGGCAATAAAGTTAAATGATTTCTTGGCTTATTTTAAAAACCTGATATTATAGAATGGCTGTGGCTACTAATTTAATGAATTTAGACAATATTTCTAGGATGGTAGAGAATTTCTGCTCACAGACTTTGTTGTTGTGTCATTTCAGTCATGTCTAACTCTTTATGACCCCACTTGGGATTTTCTTGGCAAATATACTGAAATGGTTTGCCATTTCCTTCTCCAGCTCATTTTACAGATGAGGAAACGAGGCAAACAGGAATTAAGTGACTTGCCCAGGGTCACACAGCTAGTAAGTGTTTGAGGCTGGATTTGAACTCAGGTCCTCCAGACTCCAGGCTCAACACTCTGTTGTGCCACCTAACTGACTAAGAACCTGTCCATAGAACCAAAGTTGAAATTATCTGAAATATACATCACAAATACATTCAGTTTTCTGTATCCCTTAGTTAATTCATTTTTTATAAGAACTATACCATCAGAAAAATACTAACTGTTATTCATTTCTCCAGTCCAAGATTTTTACTCGCACACCTACCTTATATTTGGAATTCAAATTGGACCAAGGAGCCAAGCATTGCCAGCCTGTTCCTGAAGGTAAGTAGCACTGTCATTGTCATTTCAAAATAGGATCTTAGGACCATAGGTCTAGAGATGAAAAGAACCTCAGCAGTTTTCTAGTCCAGACCCCTTATTTTACAGATGAGGAACCCAAAACTCAGAGAAGTTATGTAATTTGTCTAAGATCACACAGATAGCAAATGGATGAACTAGGATTTGAACTCAGGTCTTATGACTTCAGCATGCTCTCCATGGCACCTTTCCTTCAAAATTGGTTGATTCTGAGCCTGGAAAAGTTCATCAAGTATTTTGGTGCCTGTGTATGAACATGCCTTAGAAAGTAAGAAAAAAACATAATGGGAGTAAGCCTTTTCTGGAACTTAACTCTGTCCTACTTCATAAATATTGTTTATGGCACTGGAAATCCCATTCAGGGAATTCAGGGAAAAACTGGTGTTCTGATTCTAAAGAATGAATGAAAAGCCTTTCACCTTCTTTGTTTCTCTATGGCCAAGTAAAACTGTAGTAGCAATAGGGGCTGTTATTGACATCTGAAGAAGTGAACCTAAAGAAAATTATTTCCTTTTTCCTATGTGGCTTATGTATTTTTTAAAATACTGTCAGTTGGTCAGTCAATAAACATTTATTAAGTGCCTACTATTATGCCAGGCTTTGGTGCTAATATCTGTGGATATAGTTAAAGGTAGAAGACAGTCCCTGCTGGCAAGGAGCTCACAGCCTAATGGGGAAAACAACATACAAACAACTATTACAGACAAGATATATACAGGATGAACTGGAAATAATCTACAGAGGAAAGGCACTAGAATAAAGGGAGGTTGGGAAAGATTTCCTATAGAAGGTGGGATTTTAGCTAAGATTTGCCATCTGTGGTTTAAAAGCGATGTAGCACCACAGCCCAGAGGAAATCACAAGGACACTTCCACTCCAGGGTGATTGATGTGCCTTCACTTTTGGCTGAGAAGCAACAATCATCTTAAGTGGTTCCAAAAGATAGGTGGTCCTCCCCCAGCCCCTTAAGGTCAAGGCCAGAAAGGGGTTTGGAACAAAGATTTAATTATTGTTAAATTTATTCTAAAGTTGGGATTCTTAATCTGGGCTCCATGAATTTCCATTTTAGTGCTTAACTACATTTTAATGTAATTGGTTTCCTTTGCAGTCCTTAGGTATTAATTACTTACTTAAAAGCATTATTTTGAGATAGCACTAGACTGCTCCAGGGATCTGTGACAAAAAAGGTCAAAAGCCTCTTTGCTAAACTCTTAAGAGATAAGTAAAGGCCAGTGGGTAGGGAGATGTAGGGAAACTACTATATGTGTACACATCAATTTGGAAAATGTCATCCTCTTTTTTTATCCAATTCTTGAAATTCTTATGTACCCATATTTCAAATGTCAGATATTGTCTACATCCTCTCTTCTTTCAATTATACTTCTTTCAGTAACACAATAGATGATAAAACCAAAGGTTGTATGTTTCCTTTTCATTGACACAAAGAGACCTGTGAATTAAGCGCACATCTGGGTTTTCTTTAGATAATTTAGGCACATCTTGTTCATAAACATTACATTTTATAGATGTTCAAATGGAGTTTTGAAAGCTAGAATCAACCCTCTATCTTTCTATCACCTTTCTAAAAAAAAAAAAAAAGAAACAAAAAAGCAACCAAATCCCATTATATTATGGGTAAGGGAAGAATTTATGACAAAATGAGATAGAGCGTTACTGGAAGTAAAATGGATAATTTGGATTATATTAAATTAAAAAGGTTCTGAAAAAACAAAAGTCATTACAGCAAATTCCAAGGACTTTCCAGATTTAGCTTTTTCAAGATTTCTGTTGTTTCAAATGGTTCTGGGGACAAGTGGTCCCTAAAGCTTGTTAAGTATTTTATTATAAAGAAATGTGTTTGCAGTGATATTCCTGTTAGTGCATCTCTGAGCTGTGTCTAACTTTGTATGTCAGCCTTGAGGTTGAGCTTATTTAACATGAGGCAGTTATGTAGTTACCTAAATAACACAATAGAATGCTTCCAATCCATTCCATGCTAGTGATGAAAATATATTCTTTTACAAGCCCAAAAGATGAAGCATTCACCCTTGAGAGATTTTCCTATAAACTCTCTGCTCTTTTATATCAGGAAATGACCTTCATGATTCAGCCTAAATTTTATCTAAATTCTTTCCCATAAATAGTATTGGAATCAGTTTTTACCATCTCCCTGTTTCCTTCAGGCGATGCACATTTGTATTCAGTTGTGCTAATCTTGCAGAAAACAGATGTTTTGTACAGTGATTTTTGGAATGCGCTAGGTTTTAGGCACTTATGAAGAATCCTATTTGTACAGTTTCTGACATTACCAGATTCCTTCACATTTGCCACATGATTTTTTATTTGTTAGCTGTGAGCTAAAAAAAATAAAAATTATAGCTAGTGTTTGCTTTGACTCTTTTCATTACTTAGATAACAATCTAATTTTCTTTATTGAAAACTGATAAATTTGCTAATTACCATTCATTGAGAAGGAAATAATCTCTGTTTCTAGAAAAGTATCATTTACTCAACTGAGCTTTTCCTAGAAATACATGTTCCTTCTGGTATTAAGACTTCTCAAGTACAACTTCATCCACTGTGTGACCAGCTCAAAGTTTGTACCACTGGCTGGTCTTTAGTTTGCCCTCTTTCCCCTTCAGTAGCTCTCTGAATCTGACAAAGTATATGTTCACATGGGCTTGTTCATGTATATTTGTCTGCATTTTCTTCAGAAAGTCTTAGAGGGGCCATCATTTTCTTCTAACCTTGGAAAAGGTCTCTAAGATAAGCCAGTTAAAAAAAGCTGATAGGGTGTTCAGGTGATTTTAACTTTGTATGTTTCTGTGTGCATGCTTAACAAATAAATACTCAAAGACTCTGAGATTGGAAGAGGTTTTATGAATATCTACAACTCTAGTAAAATAGGGAGACAATCTGAATAAAGCTGTTGTTATTGTTCACTTGTGACTCCATGGACCATACTGTCCATGGGGTTTTCTTGGCAAAGACACAGGAGCGGTTTGCCATTCCTTTCTCCAGCTCATTTTACAGATGAGGAAGCTGAGGCAAACAGGGTTAAATGACTTGCTGGTGGTCACACAGCTAGTAAGTGTCTGAGGGCTGGATTTGAACTCAGATCTTCCTGACCCCTGGGCCCAACGCTCTTATCTGCTGTGCCACCTAGCTGCCTCTTTAACCAGCATAAACAAACTTTTCTCAAAGCTCTCTTAGTGCATTTCAATCCAGATTCATATTTCTTTGAGAATTTTACTTCTCCTGTCTCCACCTTGAATTAAAATTCTTAACTACCAGTGCTGCAGACTAAATTGTGGAATGGTTTTGTACAAGATGCTTAGGAAAGGAGAGGGGGAGAGAGAGAGAGAGAAGAGAGAGAGAGAGAGAGAGAGAGAGAGAGAGAGAGAGAGAGAGAGAGAGAGATACGAGGAAGAGAGAGAGAACAAAGTCTCCTGTATTTAATTAATAACTTTGAGTCAAATTCAACTCATTTGACTGAAATTTTTAAAAGCTTTGAATATTATACATATATATACATATTCACATATATATCATATAGGTGTCCTGTGCAAGAAAGGGCCCATGATTTAATATTCAAAGTGTTTTTTATAAATTTTAGTCAAATGAGTTGAATATATGTATATGTATGTATGTATGTATGTATGTATGTATGTATATATGTATGTATGTATGTATATACCAATTTATCTTCAGAATGGTGGCAAAACCCAACCTGAGATGTGACATAATCCAGGGAACAGTTCTGTATCACCAATATAAACATTCCTGGTTTTAGTTTAGGGAGTATGGATGCATGTTAGGACAGTAAAGTCTTTCCTTAGTGTGCCAGAACGTAATTGTTTTCAAACAGCACATGATCAGAACACATGAATTTCATCTGTGACTTGAACTTAAACCTTTGGGATTTCACGTTCTATTCCTTGCTAGGAAAAACAAAATAAAGAACAACTCCCTAATTTCAGTACAAAAAGCCCACAAAGCTACTGAAAAATAGTTTAGAAGTGACATGGCTTTAAAAATGCCAAAGTAAGTTTTTTCTGCTTTAGAAAATAAATGAATCAGAAACCTAGATTAAATCTTCATAATAAACAGGGTTTTTTTTAAGTAGGAATGTTTAGTGTTTAGTGAAGCACTAAATAAAGCATTCTCTAAATTTTAAATAAGCTAAAGTTTATTTATATATGTATAATATATATAGTTATATATATGAACACATATATGAATGTATATTTCTGATTTCCCATTTCCTACCCTCTCCTATCCAATTAGTTACCAAGTCATATTAATTATACCTCTGCTGCATCTCTCAAAAATATCATCTCATTCACTTCCTACTGCAAACATCACGACACAGGCCCTGATTACCAAAACAATTACCTGGATTATTACTATAGGACCTAATAGATCTTCCTGCCTTCACTCTCTCCCTCCTTCAATTCACCCCTCATACCATTGACAAAATTACTTTTATGCTTTTGAGTTTCATATGCACATAGTCACATATTTCATTTATGGTTGCCTTAGGTCCTAGTTCTTCCCTCTTGGGGACTATAGGGAGCTCAAGAATTTGAAATCTATGCATGTTGTGCTATACAGAAATCTGACTGGATTGATGGTGGATTGGTCAAATGCTGATAATAAAATGGGAAATTAGGATTGTGTAGGATTAGGATTCAGTAAACTCACAAAAAACAAACAAACAAACAAAAACTTCTTTTAAAACCAAGCTTTAAAGAACACAAGTTGCCAGTATTAGTATTGCTCTATTGTGGGAGATGTGGAGGGAGGTTCAGTACAAAGCACAGTCTTCATCCCACTAGTGTGTCCCAGATCTCCTTTATGGACTACAGCTACAAGGTGAGTTCTTATACATATTCTCTCTCTCTCTCTCTCTTCTCTCTCTCTCTCTCTCTCTCTCTCTCTCACACACACACACACACACACAC